GCTACACATTTGGATAACTTGTAGCATGGCCGCTTACTAGCATCTGTGCTTCTTAAAAAATGTTATCAGGCTAATATGATACAAACTGCAATATTGACCATGTTAAAAAACATGTTTTATACATTCAAAACCAATAATTGATGAGAAAATTGCAGATTAGAGTGAATCACTGAACTACTACTTGAGTTTCACATTTGCTGATTTCAACATCTAGTGAAATTGGCCCAAAAGTCTCTGAAGAAGTCTCAAACCCATGGGAATAAATGATAAAAAAAAATTGTAGAAATACTGATTGTTGGCACCCAGAAGACAGGAAACTCATCAAGAGTTTGATTTTGACTTGACTCTGGCTCAAAACAGGTCTGCAAAGTTTTTCTCAGAGTGCCTTTCACTCTGTCCATCTCTGTTCTGCCAGAGTTGGACAGTCACGATGTCTAGCAGTTAGCAGGATGCAGAGATGGGGGTCTGGCTGCTACAGACACCAGATCTGTGCTGCTGCACTCGTTCAAGATGCCTCTCACATTCGGATCACACGAACAAACTTTACGTGTAAATAATACTCTGATATCCATATCCTCATGGCAGCGATTCACTCCCTCCTTCTTACCCTGACCCCTCAGTGCCCTTGTTTATTTATTCCTTCTTCTACTCCTGTTTTTTTTGGCCAATCCCCCCCTCGTCTTCCTGCCCATATTCGCTCTCATCTCAGATTAGTGTCAAATTCCTCAGTGCGCTTGTTATGCTTGCTTCAAATGCAATGCCTGCTATATTACGAGCTCCCTATTCTGGGATGCCTCCTATCATTCGTGTGTAAGAGTGGAGGTCTGAGACGGTGAAGCAGCTCCATGCATGTTTGTGTCTCTGTGTGTGACAGGGCAGGTCACTCATGAGAGGAGAGGGCCTGCATTCCTCAGTGCGGTACTAAATCCTCACGGGATAGACATTGTTAGTGGACTAGTTGTTCCCAGGCTGTCCCATGTCCAGTTCTACACTGTGTGTGTGTGCGTGTGAGTGTGTGTGTGTGTGTGTGTGTGTGTGGGAGGGGGGGGGTGTGGAGGTGAAAGCGCATGTTCTCAGAACGTTTGGAGAATGTTCTCTGTGGAGCGTTTGTGTAACACTTTCATTTAAAGCTGTGTCATTTTAAGCTGCCTCCCTTTCAGTGTTTTGATATGTTTCGTGTTAAAGTGTAAAAGACTTTAGACAGATCAGTTGAAACCACAAGATAAAGCACCTCAGAAAATAGTTTGTCGTTCAGATTCATCCCAGTCTTTTTTTTGCAGTACCTTGCAAAATTTTTCACGCACTCGGACAGTTTCGAATTTTGCTGAATAACGACAATAAACTCCTGTATAGAACTGATATTACAAAAACATACGCTGTATAAAGACATATTTAACCTTTTTATTATTTTTTCACAGCACCTGATGTCATATTACATTGATATTGTTTATATTGGTTTGGATCACACAATTATTTTCTATTAGCAAAAACCCAGTATTATGAATGAAGTAGTTTTTTTTAGATGTTCTTTACTTTGTTCAAATTCAGATATTGACCTGAGATACTCCCAACAGGTTTTCATGAGACATCTTGTCTTCAGTTTGACTTTATCTTTTTCATCCTGGTGAAGATGACAGAAGCAGGGTGTGCCAACAGCGTTAACAGGAAACAGTTTAAAATTGTCAAAATGTGAAAGGTGGATAGTGTCACTCTTATGCAAGAGCAAGGGTTGAATTTTTTTCCACATCATGACTTTGTGTTCAGATTCAACTGAGTTGCACATCCTCATTAAGGGTTACATACACGAGACACTGAGAGTAAAGCACAGCTGCAGAGGAACACAGTTATTTGGAGCTTGTGGTTTAAAATAGTCGTTAAGTTAAATGTCTCAACTATTGTTAGCTTTCTTTTTCTTTCACCTGACATAGACCTGCATTGAGGTACAGCATTAAAAATATTGAGAGTTCTAGTTTTTGTACACTGCACATTTAAAAACAAATACAATGTTGGTCATGTTGCTGCATACCAGAGTCACCAACTGCAACTAAGTCCAACCATTTTCATTAGTAGTTCATTTTCGTTTTGGCTATGTTTTTTCAATTCCTAATGTCATACTATCATTTTTGTATTAATGCTGATTTTTGGTTTTCATTTTAAAACGCTCTGCCTAACTTAAGGTGGTTCACTTATATAATGTGATTGTAACTCTGTTCGAAACCTAGAAGCAGTTGGAGTTTAGATTTAATTAAACTGAAACACCAAGCAAGTTAGAAAACTTGTCAATTCACTTCATGGTGAAAGGGGGATCTCTTATAAATAAAAGTTCAAAAGTCTTGGTCACAGGGAGTTGATTGTATGTTATGGAGTCATCTCATCTCCACTAATTTTCTTATCAACTGAATGTGACACGGGATGAAATAGTTTTAGCAAAGGAATGTGGTTTGTGTAGATAGCAGTAGCTATTAATTTCATAAACTTTTTAAACATTATTCCAAATGAACCTCCATAGAGTTCTTTCACAAATCAACTCCTGGTGAAAGAAAAAGATGCTCAGAAACAATGTTCTTTCAATAGTATTGGCATAAAACTTGCATTAGATTAGAGCAAAACCAGTGATATAAAGTTCTTGGGGTTTTTCTGCGGGCTGTCCTGTTAGCAACATGGAAATACCTTTAACCAATACTCTCGGGCAAGAAAAGCTAGTGAAGCAGTAATGACATTTGAGCATCGTTCATTTTCATTTTACCCCAAAAAATCAAGCAATTTTAACATGCATTAGATTCACAAGAGTTGGTCAAATTTATATTAGAAAGTGACCTTGGAAGGGCTTTATAATTATTACCCAACATATTGTTTAACAGAGCGGTTAAACCCTGTTCATCCTCACTCCTGAAAGATGACTCATTGTTGCTGTTTTCATCCCCAGGCACATCACTGATCTCAGTTAAACCACTGATTTGGAAGATGCAGTTTATGAGGAAGGTTTTAGCGTTATATCATTTACAGCCTGAAATACCCTCCTGGCATCAAATTCAGAATGAGAACAGTGAACATTTTTTAAGCAACTTTTCTACATAGTGGATTATTCAAAGTTAATAGAAATGGGATTAGCCAACTAAAACGTAAGTAGATGTCCATACAGGTACGTGGTGATTTTCAATTGCCTTTTGCAAATTGTGATTTATGTTGAACAGGGAATGACATCGCCATTAGGTGTCTGGAAATAAATAAGTCACTTTCCCTCATATCTACATCAAATGATATATAGCTGCACTGCATGTGGTTGGCAAACTGGGACAGATTTACAATGCTCCACCCTTGTTTAAAGCACAAGCATCTCATGATTTACTCTTGTTCCACTGATCCTGGAATTCACTAAAGATACTTTACAATAACTGTTTTGACTTACTGCCCTTGACAACAGGTACACCATATTCATTTTGGTACATAAATCAAAGAAAAAGCTGCAGCTGTAAACACTCCACTTAGACACTGAGCAGCAGCTTGAAGGTTTGGCTAAAATTGCGAGAACAGATAATAAAAATTGCACTAATTTTATTTAACGTCCTCAGTGCCTTTTTAAGACATTTGATCTGAGTAGGCTGCAAATTATGTGCTTTATTTTTTGAGTAGTTCCAAATCGCTTTCCATTTTTAGATCTAAAAATGACGAAGCTGGCCCCTATCTTCTTTTTTCTCAGACTAAAACTAAAAGTAGAAAATTGGTCATCCTGAATATTTTATTTTACAATAAAACAGGAAATTAAATATATTAAACATTTCCAAAACTCAACAAGTTGTCCTTTTTTTCCCCCAAGTTGTAAATGGGTTTTATAGCTTTAGGGAAAATTTCATGAGGCAGGAGAAAGGGATAAATTGCTCACTGGATTACAAGGTTTGCTGTCCACTGGTAAAGAAGGATATACTTTTGCTCCTGTAAGCTCCTAACCTTGTCTGCGGGTGTAAACTCCAGGGAATGTGGTGCGGTTAGAGGTTTCTAGAACACCACCAGAACAAGGCAGGTCTGACAGAGACTGCGTGTAGCTTGCGACACGCACTCTCTCTCTTACACACATATACACACGCCATAGCCGCGTTGCCAATGAGTCAGTGTGTGAATCACACTCCAGCTATGCTGCTGGTCGATTTTATAAGAGCCGGCGGCACAACAGTGCTTAATATTGCAAACAACTGTACTTTGTGGCACTCATTCATATATATGTATGTATATATATATATATATATATATATATATATATATATATATATATATATATATATATATATATATATATATATATATATATAAATCAAATGCACTCCCTCTAAATGAAAAAGCATTTACTTTATTTAGATGCATAGAAAGGCAGAGGGTTGCACACCCAGTAATGTGGGTGATTGCAGATGAGTCAGGAAATGAGCAAAGGGAATCCTTTCCTTTTTGTTTTGTCAGATCTATAGGATGAGTTGTACCCCTCAGATTCTGAATTGGGCTTCGACACAAACCCATTTGGGAATGTGGAAGGATAAGAAAAATATGAAGAGGGTTGTGCTAAAATCATCCATCTATGTCAGCTTTAAAGAATGAATCATCTGTTTCAGTTGGACTAGCAGATATGCAGCTGATGTCAATATCTGATCAAAATTTAACCTTTTTTTTTCTTTTCTTTTTTTAAATGCAAAACAGTTTTGTGCTCAAAACATTTGTGGCATGAAGTAGCTTTTTTTTTTTTCCTCACATAAAAACAGACCACATCTTGAAGATTTTGCAAGCTGATTAAAAGTCAGACTTCAAAAACAGTCGGTTTGAGGTGAATCTGCTGCTGCCGGTGGAGAGAAAAGAACACGATGTCTCTGTTTCTGTCTGACAGGCACAGATGGGAAAACGTTGAAACATCGCCCTCTGGTGGCGACAACAAGCGAGGCGCTTTTAAGAGAAAACTTGAGACGTTCATTTGTGGGAAACGCAAGAGTTTGATGTCAAGGTCACAACAGCACACATGCAAATAAGACAAGGCAGATGTATTTTTATAGCACCAGTAATTAACAAGGTAATTCAAAGGTAAAAACACTTTAAGAAGATGAACTAATAAGCATTTAAACTAAAATATATATAAAAATGAAAAGTTTCAGAAAAAGAAAACACTATAGTGCAAATTTATAGATATATACACATCCTCTCCTGCATATAGAGAGAACATTTGACCCAAAATGTGATTTCTGTTGAACCCCATGAGATCTTTACTCAGATTTGTAATTGCAAAAAGGCAAAGAAGTAAAGAAAAATCTGTATCAGACAATGTCACTCACTTTTCCTGTCAACCAATCAATGTGAATCGCTAATGCATGCCTACACAGAAGTTTTGGCTGCAATGCTGTTAAAACATGTCATTTGAAACGTTTACCAAGGCAATCTCTTTAAACAAGTTCTGAACAATTTGTTCTCATTAAATCGGTGTTCAGAAAGAGAAAAAGCTTTTGGCAAAGTAAGATCAGTGCCAGTGACCTCAAGGGAAAGACGCAGCACACGGAGGCATCTGCATGAAGCCGTGCTGTGGCTGACTTGTGCCGCAGGTGTAGAGTTTGGTAGGAGTGGTGCCACGCTGCCGGCCTATGACTCAAGTATAAGAACCTGGAGCTTTGACTGACCTCTCCAAGTTGTCCCTGCAACCCCTGTCTCCTCCTCCCTATGCCTTTGCATCTTGTTTGTTTTTTCACTCTCTGACTCATAAACCAACTCTTGCCTCCTCTGGCACCTCTGTCTTTCTTGGCTAAGGGAGGAGGCTGGCGCTTTTTTTTAAAATCTTTTTTTACCACTCCAATCGTGCAAGTCTTTCTTTTCGCTCCTGTCAGACCCAGTTTCTCTCAAAAGTCACCCTTTCGCTGCGATAAGGGAGTGGAAGGTTTATCTGATTGGAAAACTTCTCTGACTCACTCATCACACAAACTGCAGGTGATGACTCACTGCAACATGGGCCATTCAGCACAGTAAAGACGAACGGCTACGTGAGTGTGTGCTAGTGTCACTATGTTTGCATACACATTAACCTTTATATGCATTAGGGTGCTGTTGCAGAGAGGTTTCATGACACACCACCTACACTCCTTTTAGACAAACCCAGTGAGATAATCAATGTCGCTGTAGGCGAGGTTACAGTGTCCCTCGTGTTTATCGCTTAGGAATAAAATTGAGTTTTGAAAAGCTGTAAATTTTCATATATTTAGCATTTCTTTAACAGATGTGCATGTGTGTGATGGCGCACCGGAGGAAGAGGATAATTCATTATGACACGGCCAGATGCGAACTATAAATTGTGTAGAGTGACTCATCCAAGACAGACAGGAGCCATCAGCGGACACCGTGGCTGGAGCCTCTATTGTGACAGACAACACACAGCACCCTGATCACACAAGAAGGGTTTTTGTCAAGTGCAACATGCATGGACATGGGGCTTGACTGATGCCACGCATACATCCGCATTCATCCATACAAATGCAAACGGTGTGCCGTGACAAGTTTCCGACTCCCATTTGTTCCATTTTTGCATGTCTGTGGTAGAGATGAGTCACTTTTAACTGCCGTCATCACATAACTACTGTCACTTGGGACTGATTCACACTCCCGACAGTTTCTAAAATAATCAAGCTCTGCTGGGTTTTTCAAAATCGAAAACCTGGGTGAGAGCATGCTGGGTGCTTTTATTCTTTTATTAGGCAGCGGAGCCTTTCACTGGAACATGACATACAGATACAGTGCATATTTAGAGAATGTGAGATATAAAAAAATATAGGTCAAAAGAATGGCTTGCTGAAAAACAAACAGCACAACATAAAGGTGTATAATACAAAACATGACAATGAAAACGTTTTTCCACCTGGGCAAGTTCATCTGGAAGAAACAAAATGTTTCTTTTAAAACTGTTAATTTGTATTTTGTTATTCTTTTTTCCCCCACTGACAAGCACAAAGGGTTTAACGAGGTTGGTGTTCGTCGTCTGAGTCCTCGTCTTCATCCTCATCACCATCCTCCTCCTCAGATTCATCTTCGTCCTCTTCTTCATCCTCCTCCTCCCCTCTTCTCGTCTGGCGGCTGGAAGCTCTTTGTTGCTGTGACAACAAATTAAGTCACTGCGCAACTAAAACACTTTGCAGATATTTATTAGGCACACTTTGTGCTTTGGGTGAATCCAGAATATTTTCGTTCCATCACCTTGTCTAATCAGCAAAGTCCGCACAACCCAAATCAGATCACATTTCTCAAAATTGATGTTTTGCTTTCAGTCTCCTGCTTCTAGTTTCACACATCATGTAAAACAGGTTCTGCAGCGCAAGTTTCTCACCGCCAGTCTGTATCTTTCTAAGCGGTAGTGATTGTTCCCGGATAAATTCAAATCTAATCACAGGAAGGGGGTATGACAAGTCAGAGGCATGCTGACGTGACAGGAGTGTGTTGCAATGTCTCTCTGAGACCTTTAATCTGATCATCTCTGGACAGATAAAATATCTGAACATACCGGGTATATTCAGCTTCCGAAGCATTCCCTCAGACACGCTGCCTCACACCGGAGTTGATGCTTAAACTGTGATACAATTTTTATGTTATAACCATAACATATATTATTGGGATTTTATTGTTTTAGGACCAAATCCAAGTTCTTCATAATTGTGAGGTGGGACAAGAATAAAACATGGGTTTCTTTTTCTTTCTTACAAATTAAAATGTGAAAATTCAGCTCGCTCAATACTTTATTGCAGCAAATACACCTGCAAGTATTTTCTCTCTTCTACTTTTGCAGAGGTTTCTACTTTTCTTTGAAAAATATCTCGAGCTCAGTCAGACTGGGTGGAGAGTATCCTTAAACATCAATTTAAGAATAACTTGATCCACTTATGATTTTCTTGTAATAATCACTTTCTTCTTGCCAATGCATTTCTAATAACTGTCATGTTAACAGTTTCTCCCACCTCAGCCATGAATGTCTGCAGCTCCCCCAGTTACACTGGACCTCCAAGTTGTGTCTCTCATTATTCCTCTTCTTGCCCAGCCTGTTAGTTTAGGTGGATAGTCATATCTTGGTATTTGCAAATGTGTTATGCTCTGTTTTAAGATGGTTGACTGAACAGTACGCTGTCACATGTTCAAAGCTCAGTACATTGTTTTATAACATTACCCTTTTTGAAACTTCTCCACAACCTTTTTGTTTACAAGGTTTTGTAAAGTCTGTAAGCTTCCTTTTATTTAGACTAAACTGATGGACAAATGTTTTCAAAGCCATTGTTTGGAATACATTTTTTAGGGGTATCAAATAAAGGTGGTTTCCTATTTGCTATTGAAAAAATATAAATCCGGCTACTGTTTTCTTCCTCTTCATAATTGTGATCTACTTTCTGTTGCTCTCATCACATAAAATGCCAATACAAGTCATTGAGTATGCTGGTTGTAATTGGTGGGTAGTTTTGCAAGAAACTACAGTAAATCCAGAATTAGTCACTCACAAAAATGAGCAGTGCTGGGTAAACTGTTAACGTCGGAGAAAATGGATAATATATGCAGCGTGCAGTGACATGCAAATTAAAGAGAATGATGGATGGGGAAATGGCGTGCTTCTTCTGACAACTCGCTTATCGAGCACCAGCTCATGCTGGCATGAGGAAGCTACTGTTTTTTAAAAACAGCGGTGAGGTTTTCCTTTCTTTCTTTTATCACAACAATAAAACTTACGCAACCGCAAACATCAAAGATAAAATGATTACAAGCAAGCCATGACAGCAGGAACTTTCAGGGAAATTCTTACTTAGACTTTTATTAAGACTAAGCAAATAAAGGTCTGCTTAGTCTTAAGAAGAAAACTCAGTAAAGAGTTTTCATCTTACCTGTAAGGTACCTGATGTACTCAGGAAAGACCCGGTGTGATCAAGAGACGTCTTGGAATTGGCTCGCACTATGTCTAAGCGGGACTGGAAATCAGGGGGGTGCAGACAATTCCTGAACACCTGCCAAAACCAGAAGGGCGTGCTGCGTCAAAACAGTAAGATACTACTGAGGGATTGTTTAGCATACCTAAACATCGACCAAACAACGTGACAAATAGAGCGAATGAAAGCAGCTCGGACGTTATCAGTTTGACACTAAGCTGTGATTTTAACCACACCAATGTTTTTCAGGACTCTGGGTCAGGATTGTCTTCATGCCTATCATTGTGCATGTTTCACATGATTCAATCTCCCATGTTTTGCACAATGAGTCACTGTAAACCAGCCCCATCTCAGCGAAGAGTTTTGTTTCAATATGAATGGAAGGCAGATGATTCAGAGCAAAAACACACAGATTAGATGGCGACGGGCGGAGGGAAACAACACAAGGGCATCCACAGGAGGAACTTTGCTCACTGAGAATCATTGATCCTTTGTTCTCCCTTTCTCTGTTAGAATAGCCGAGAGAACCACTCAGCAGATGATAAACAAAGGAGGAAAGGCTGAGATGAGTGATCGAATTGAGCAGTATTTACCACAGATGACTTCAAAGTTAAGCCACAGGGTGTGGACTGTGATATGTCGGAATATTAAACAAAACCCTCAGGTTCATCAAACAAAGACCAGAGTGTGTACTTCAAACTGGATTAGGTTTTGGCGAAAAGTGCAATCCAATAACGAAATACAGAAGAGAACTGTAAAAATAAAGTGAATTCAACAGGGAGACATGTTTTCAGCTTAAATTCAGATGTAATAATAAAAAAACAGTCCGAATGCCTAATTTTATTAAACATGTCAACACCCATAGGCATCTTCTACATTCATGGTCTGTTAAAATAGCATAGAGGTGAATGTGTGGGGAGTTGCTTTGTTGCAGCCCTTTACCAGATATTGATTAACAATTAAAACTGTGGATGGCTTAAAAGCCTCATTATGTACAACTGTAGTCTGTAAAAGTGATCACGTGACTGAATAATGAGCTATGCAATCAGTTATTTGCAGTTCCTCTTTATTTGAGATCAGACCACAGACACCTCAGAGGAGACGAATATGAGGATGCATTTTAGAGCTGATTGTGGGCACAACTGTTTCTACAGAGATGCCGAGGATCTTTAGATTGGATCAGTAAGTGTCAGGTAGAAAAGTCTCCATTATCATCTGAAAAGGTCATTGATACTGAGATATGAAGGACTTGAACCATTTTTATTGAGATTCTAAGAAAAGTAGAATGCTGATGATATTTCAAAACTAGAACTAAATGCTCCAGATTGAATTTATCAAGAATCTTCCAACATACAGTTATGACAGTTATTCAATAAATTAGAAAATACATCTGATTGTTTCAGGTTCAACGTAGCTTTTGAAAATACATATTTTTTAAATGTATTTAAAATATTAAGATATTATCTTAATAATTATATCTTTATTAAGATATATAGATCTTAAAAATGATGAACATATTTTATGAAGCCTACATTTCAGTGTTCAGCATGTTTTTATTAGTTTGAGAAAATACTAAAATTCAAAATGTGTTATCCTTAGCTGTAACAAAATCATCACAATTAACAAAAACAAAGGTTTGAAAACTGTAGTTTGTGTGAAATTAATCAATATAATGTGTTTCATTTAGTGAATAGTTATTGAAATAAACTTAAAAAAAATCTAATTTATTGAATATTATAGTATATACAGTACACAAACTCAACCTTACATGACTGAATGTTCTTTAATAAATTACAAAAAAAACCACTTTTTTAACCAATTAATGTTTCTCAACAGAAAAGCTGACGAGTTCAGACTGAACAGTCTGAATTGTCAATAGGGTTGAGGTTGGGTGTATTCCACAAGCTTGATGTTAAGCTGCTTTACTTATTCCAAAAGTACTTGGAATAATTTTTGGTTGGAACACCTGCTCTTGTTAAAGTTTTTCTCAACTGAGCAAAACTGCTAAATGAAGCGAAATTGTTTAGAGTGACCCACAACAACTCAGCAACCACAAGAACTTGAGCTGATCGTAAACTGAGAACACAGGCAATTTCATTTCAACAAAAACTAAAAGGGTGGCAACAAAGAGGGAAGCTTGTGCTCCACAATAAAACCCTTTAAGCTTGACTTAAGCTAGCAGTTACCCACACAGGCAGTCCATCTATGTTCTAAGACACATTTCACGATCAGAGGAGGTAAAGACTGAGTGTGTTGGCCTCAATGACAAGAAGAAATTTTAGAAAAGTCAAGGTGAGGTTATCAAACCTTCAAACATTGTGCTTAATATTAAGCATGCTGGTAATAGCACCATGGCGAGCTGAAGTCTTGCTGCTGGTGGTAGCGATGCAGCGGTGGATGAAATAACAAAACAAGACCACATGCAGCTTCTTTCCATCCCCCCAACAGTTAAATAGTTATAACATGGACAAAAATGTGTGTTTTGAACAGACAATGATCCCAAAAACATTAAGTGTTTGTTTGGGAATGAATAAAGCAGTCCAGCATAAAACTTCTGGTTTGGCCCTAAACTCAAATCAATGAACTGTGTTTAAGTGACGTGACCCTGTTGCAAGAAATCAAATAATAAAATCTATCACTTCCCATAATAGAAGTTAAATACCCAGCCAAAAATGATGGAAAAACTTGATGTCTACAACTCTCCGCACCTTGCTAAGCAACATTGAAGCTAAGATTGGTGGATATAAATGTATATTTATGAGACTGTACGGATGAGTTTGTTTCTCTTAGAAAAAAAAAAAAAAACTCTAGTTTTTAATATTATGTGAAGTTGCTTATTGTGCAATCATGCCACCATAAAGAAAGAATACCGCAAAGGCATCTTGAAAAGCCAGTAACTGCATGCTAACGTTTGACAGGCACATCTCCATACCTCCAGGTCTGCTTCCTCATCCACACTTTGGATACTTTGGTATGCCACAGTGTAGATCTCCAAAGCCTTGGCATGGAACGACATTTCCACTGTCACAAATTCACCAAAGACTTTCTATAAGAGAGGAAGACACAGATAAGATCAACAGAAAAGAGTGAGATGGAGCGATGTGTTGACTGACAGGTAGCAGGGCAGGGAAGCTTGTAGTAAAACAGGAATAGTTTTCAGGCAGCCAAAGATGAGCCTGTGTGTGGACAGACTCCAGAGACTATACTGGTCTTTACTGTCTGGTTTCAGTTTACTGTTCCCCACCTTTATGTCTTGGATCTTCTGTCGCTCAAACTCATCTATGGTTTCCTCCAGCTGCTTGGTGGTTCGTGTGGCATCCATGGTTGCTCTTTGAAGCTCAGTTTCAGCCTGGGCGCAAAAAAATACATATAAGTACTAAAAGACAATAAACATCCGTGAAACTCTCAAGGAATTAGCATTTTAGATGTTCTTCCACTGAAGTGGAACAAAAGAATAAACTTTGTAAGAAACAGTGGAGAGTAATGAAGTGGGCAGATCTCACGGGGCAGACCTGAGACTGGAAGTTTAATTAAGAAAACACAAAAAATGAACATCTTACTTTCTTAGGTGAATGCTAAAGAAGAAAAATGTGCTTCACAGATGAAGCACTTATAATTAGAGATGATAATTAGCTGCTATTACATGAATGTTTCTTTGTGTTTTTGATCAAGAACTAGAGAAACAAAACAAGGATACAATGATTTGTCTGTCTGAAGGGTTTCTAAGTCTGGTCTTCTCGAGTTGAGCCATCTGTTTGGCTTCTCTCTCTCGGGCGCTCTGTGTTGCCTTCAGATCCTCCTGCATAGACATGAGACATTTCGATCAGATAAAATTTTAAACTGATGAGGTGAGCCACAGAAAATGTGCAACATTTGCAACTCACATAAGGTTAATTAACCTGGTAAGATTGCAACTAGACATGGGCAGTTACCAAGGTATAACAAGACTTAAAATGTCACACAATACCACGATTTAAGCGTTATTTTTAAAAAATGCCAGAAAATGTGCTGAAATTGCCACATATGAGCTATAAATATAGCTTACGGTAGAAAAGTGAATGACTGATTCACTCTTGTAGCATACAAGTAAAACAAGTTTTTACTTGTTTTACTTGTCTCTTCCAGTCACAGATCTTTCGTCTATATCCTTGCTTATTCGTGGATGAGGCAAGAGGAGCCTAGTGCTAAACTCCAAATGTTATTGGGTGAAAATCTTGATAGATTGTTAATTATTTTACCTAAATATACACATCCATATATTTGAAACATAAAATATCTATTACAAGGTAGGCATCTTTGGAAAGTTTCAACTTCATATAATAACTATAAAAAAGACTAAATGCTACAAACAATATGCTTTATGGTGAAAGGTGCTGACTATCGAGGGTACCTAATGGTATTGCATCACTTTATCAAAGAAACAATACTGCCCTCTTGCAGCCATGCAAGGCCATTGACAAGAATTATAGTTGCCTGTACAACAGCCTCCAGGGCCCTTTTTAAAAATAAATTCACACATTTTAATTGTGCAGCTATGCTGTTTAGTTCAACTGTTCATCAACCCATGCCGGATTCTCTGGGACCCTTACCCTTTTACGTTTCACCACAGCTCCATAGCTTTTTAATGGTTCTATGACTCTGGCTTCGAGTCTTTCCACCTATAACATGACATACATGTTAGATTTGGTCATATTTAAGTCTGACTTAAATATCATGAAATGTAACTGAAAATCAACCTCAGCTTGGCGGTAGTCTTGAATCTTGGCAAGGTGCTCTGCAAACTGCTTCATCCCCCGCTTTAGGTCTGGCGTCTCCGTGTCGGCGTACAAGCCAATTTCCCGGACAAGAAGGTCTGCTTTGTCTCGCAGCCTGGCTGTTTTGCGGGCATAGGCAGCAAACAGTTGGCACATATCTCCAAAGTGTTTCTCCACTTTGGTTATGTTCTCCTGGATCTTCCTCGTCTGGTTATCTCTTGAAGGTCAGAATGAATTAGGTCCAATTAATGAAAACACAGCTCACACAAACACATCTGTGACATTTTTAATTTGTTAGAGAACATTGGTGAATAAACAAAATCATAAAAACAAAAGAGCTCACAAGACAAGTGGTGGTGAAGTTGAGAGCAGAGTTAGGTTATAGAACAATAGACCAACTTCTGAGCATCATGTGGAAAACCGTTCATCATCTAAGTATGTAAAGTATGGAGTATGGTATGACTTCAAACCTACCAAAGTAAACCAATTAAACAGTCTAAGCAAGGATAACAATAAACAAGGAAGCAGACAAGAGGTTGTTCCCCCACAAATCTGGCTTTTGCATTCATGTGTTAGTGGCCCAAAGACCAGACCTAATCACTTGAGAATCTGCAAGATGGGTTTTCGATGTGCAGAAATAATGCAGAAATAACCCAAAACATTGCAATGACAGGTGTCTATAAAATTCATTTTCAGATTTAGTAAATACAAAACGCAATTTTCCTTCACCTTCATAAAAAATATGAGCTACACTGAAGCCGGATTTTGTAATTTCGCAAAAAATGTGACAAATCTTAAAGACCCACAGATATCATACAATGAATACTGTCGCCATAGAATAGATTTTAAGATCAGAAAATGTAAACCGACTGTAAATAAGCTCCCTGCATCATAGACCCATAGAGGATATATAACGTTATGGATTTCCAGATTCTTAGAGAAAAAAAAACCCGAATCAACACACTTAGACACATAGACAGTAGATAAATATATTTAACAATATAATTCAGCGAAAAGTCAGTAGAAAAACGTTCAAGAAAAACCAAAAACATTAAAGCTATCCTAACTACTGAGCTATGTCACTGCTGGTTTTGAGCCTGATTTTGGTCGATCACTTTCGTTCTAATTCATTCAAAATATCCTGATAAATGAGTTTTACCTGGCTCTCGCATCCGGCGTGCGACTCATCTTCACAGAGAGAACCAAAAGCGGTTTACAGGAATGTCCACTCGCTCCTTGCTGGCTAACTAGCAGCTAGCTAGGTTGAACGCCAATCGGCGGTTTCCATGGAGTCACTAGTTCATTTCCGCTTCAAAGTTGCATTCTGGGAAATGAGGTCTTTGACTCCTTTTGAGATTTCAGTAAGTTTATCAAGAAATTACTTGTTTTTTCTTATTTACATAAAAAATCAGTCATCACTTTATTTTTTTAAAATAAGATGACACATCAGGATTTGTTTATTTCGTTCTGCAGATGCGTAGCATTCCAATTAGATTAAATTTGAAAGGAAATTTGGACAGTTCTTTCATTACATCTGTGAAAATATCTGCTTTTAATGTTATAAAAATGGGACAGACAGAGATAAATCACTGAAGAACGTGTCCTTCCTTTAATGTGACATAAATCCTGTAGAGCTCAATAAAAAAAGCAAATGGAAATATTTGAATGGAAAAACTACAAATAAGGTTGCTTTACCATAAGCAGCCTTACCCTTAAACATTAAGCACAAATTTTATGATGGTGCAATCTTCATCTGATTCTAATTTCCTCTAACTGGACTAAGGCTCTAATATAAACAATAGTAAAACAACAACAACAACAACAAAAAAAGCAAACAAAAGACAAGTGTGCATGGTGATGCAGTGTCCTGTGTTGTTTTTGCATTAAACATACATTTTACCTTTAAATGTTTTATTTTGTTGTTGTTTTTTTTTTTACTTTTTTATTATGTTGTTATTTTTTTGTGTTTTGATGAAGACAATTACATCTGCGGCTTCAAGAAGATTTTAGGCCACCATTTTATTTCAGTTTGGTATTTCTGCTCAGACAAAGCAATCTTTAAATTCAGCTTCCAATTTGTTCTGGTTAAACATTAATTTTAACTTAAAATTTGTAGCTATTTTGTCAGTGTTTCTCTTTCATATGAATAAGTCACAAAATATGTGTGATTTCTGAATATTCACATCCTGTCAACAGAGTGGGGTGTTTAAATCACCCCACTCAAAATTGTGATGCATTGCATTACAGAAGCCCAGAAATGCTCTGTTTTAGAGTATCTTGTTGCCAAGACTAGATATTGTGATCGCTGAAATAAATGGGAGCATCATTGTAATTCCCTCCTCCGTGTTTGGGAATGCATGAATGTCACCAGCTGTTACATCTGCTCCTCTGTGGAAAACGTCCAAAAACCTTAATTATCGTGCTTAATCATCCGTGGGATTGAAGCAGGGGAGTTTCCACTGTAACAGATTGGAGATGTAAAACAAGGCGATTGCATTGAGGTGTGTGCCTGAAATCCCAAGGGAGCTCAGCTCATACTTTCAGATGTGGCTGACAGTACTATAGATGACCTTTTTATATAAGTTCTTTATGACATGACCCTAGTCAGTTATTAAAGTTTGAGTTTTAAATCCCATCTGTGCTGTAATGAATTATTTTTGTCAACTGTATTACTAATAAAATACAAAACAAATGGGAAAAAAGTCCTGTAAGAGCCCACATTTGAAGACAAATGTCAAATTTGTCAAGTCACTATAAATTAATATATTCAAAGTAAAAAAAAAAAAATAAATAAATAAATACATGAACTGATGATTATTGGTAACAGGCACATTTATTGATTAATTTATTTGTTAAAATGCTATATTAGATATAGGTTTAAGACACATTGTAGGTTTTTTTTCTGATATTCGTCTTACAGTCAGTGCCAATGGTTTACCCCCCCTCAAAAAGTCTTTAGTGTGATTACATCATCCAGCCACAGGAGGGCAATCCAGTTCTGTTTATCCCTTTCATAAACCTTTACAAAGTTACAGGTGGAACTGCAATCATTGCTTCCCCCTCTCAAACTGTGAAGAAGAACCTGACTCAAAATGTCTGTTCAGTTCATTATCATATATTTACATTATTTACACTGCTGAGCTCTGGATAAGCTTTTAAACCCCTAAACCTTACAGTACAAACAGCAGCTGCCTGTCTGTTCAGCTTTGGCTGTAGGTTTGTGCTGCAAGAAGCTTATGGCTCTTAAATCATTTAACTTGGCTGCTGGTAAATGTATACAGAGGTTGTGACATCTGCTTTCACTGTGGGTTTAACTTAGTTGCGGAGCAGATGGTGTTTGTTCCAAACCACCAGTTAATATGGAAAACACTGCAGCCACCGGCAGCAGCTCTCTCTGCTGGTTTCATAAACTCCTCGCTGTCTCTGTCCCTCTGTGCCCTCTTCTTCAGTCCTCTGCCACCCTCTGTGCTGCAGCGGCAGAGCCGCGTGGCCTGTTGAACAGATTGGGGATGACATATGTCAGACGTTGAGGAACTTGGTAGGGAAGCTAAGTGTGTGTCTCTCAGCATGCTTGTGTGCTGAGCTCTCCCCATTTCAGGTGCGTGTTGTCGTGTGCGGACCCCAGATGTGAGACATTTCTTCCCCGTCAATATCAAGATGGAGTCTGTGGGAGGCCTGTGTGTGTTCAGGGAGGCAGAGGATTATGAGCGGCATGATATCTTGTTTGCCACTTGATGCATAAAATGAAGTTACAGGCTGAAAGTCAATATCTCATCATGCTGATTTTTGTTAACTTTTCTCAAACTCTAAATTCCTCTGATTTGACAACACATGGAGAAATAAACTCCGGTGGGAAATATATCTGTCCTTTTTCCATACCCCAGACTCAGTTATTATTGGTCTAACTCTTATAAAGTCCCTAAATTAAGAATCAATTTGTTCTCAAACTCCATAAATGCTCTCACGGAGCACGTCAAAATAAAGCAGAATTCCCAGATCAATCCGACAGAGTAGATTTGGCTACTGTTCGGTTTTTTGTAATCCAAAAAATTGAAATATAAAATCTATAAGAGAGTTTGGGAAACAATTCCATCTGCACAGAAGGCCTAAAAGCACAATAAAAGTCAAAATTAGAAATGGAGGCTCAAACATATACAGATGTCCTCACAAATTTTTTGATTAAATTTTAAACATATTGAATTAAATTGAGTTCAGAGCATCTCCAGAAATTTAATTTTCATCATGAGATTGCACACTCGCTAGCTCTGATTTGAAATTAAGTTTTAAAAATTGGAATCAAACCTTCCATTTAATATGAAAACAGTACCTAAGCATGCTAGCACTACCATATTTACTCTTGGGTTTGAAAGAAAGCCTCCTCCTCCTAATTCTTGTCAGCATTTGTCTTGTCATTGTGGCCAACCAAGATGATCTTTGTCTAATTTGGTCATAAAAACGTTCCCCAGAGGGCATTTAGTTAAATTTTGGAGCAGGGGTTCTTTCTTCCTTGGCTTATTCTCAGCCCATCTTAATATTAATGGGAACATTTTTGTAACGTTCCTGCATCTTTCTTCCTACGATTAACCTAAGCATTGGCGGTTTCAGAGTTGTGCTTGAACATGTGGACGACATACATAAAAAAAAAAATTAAATCTGTGCAAATAAACCAGCCAATAAAAAATGACTATTTAAAATTGACCAACTTTACAAAAAAGACTGGCCAAATATGCAGTCAGAATTGTGCCTGGAGCTTGCTCATGGCTACAAAAAAACATGTTTTCTTTACATATTGCAAAGAGAAATTACGCCAATGTCCCTAGGCCATATGTTGAAAGCTGTATGTATCATTTTGACTTAGTGTGGATTAGAGATATTTCACAATAAATTAAAAACTCAAATCCTCAAAACCAATAACACGTGTGCTCATGATGAATTTATGCAAAGCAGCTACATTTGCAATTTCTCCCAAAGCATTATTACTCAGATGAATATGAGTTTCTCTTATTTGATCATTTTTTCCTCCTGTGCACATAAAGCCACAAAGCTCAGGCTGAATTTCAGATGAAATTCCATGTTATTCCCCTTTAACTCCAGCAACCTTGAACAAAAGTCCTCACTCTATGGTTAAGCAGGTGCTTGAAGGGCAAGCCGACGCAGACACGGTCCAGTGCTTTTATTGACCCACTGAAAAACCTCTCTGTGTCTCCAGGGGCTTAGAAGCTCAGGTTAGGGTCTTTGTTGTCTGCGTTCATTAGTGTCTGCCTCACCATCCCTCTTTCTCTCTCCCTGCTCTCTCTATCTCTTTCTCCAAACACCTCTTTTTTTTTCTATACTCCCTCAGTCTGTCTCTGCTGCTCTTTTCCCCCAAGGAGACGGAGAAGAAAATGTCACCAGAGCAAATTAGTGGGAGCCTCCAACACTCCCTGTCTCCCTCTGTTTATTCCACAGAGTGATGGCATCACGAACGAAAGTTTCAAGATCTTTATGTGTGTCGAAACTTCGCCTCAGTCAGGTGTGAGACTCTGTGACCCTGGTAGTTTTAAAGCGTTCAAACATTCTGTATATTGCTGATTTACTCCTTTGGCTTAGCAAAATCACTTGTAAGATACAAGGTTAGCTTAAAGTACAACTCCAAAGTCGATATTCTACTTCTTGCCACCCAAGATGATACTAGTAGGTCAAATATATTTGCATAGAATATTTATTTTGCTCCATCTTATTTGCAAAATTGTTAAGTTCGATCAGATAAAATGTGTGTAAAAGACAGCGCCTTATTCAAATCTTGCCTCAGATTCTCTATTGGATGTAAATCTTTGCTTTATTGGGACGATACTAACACATAACTATCATTTAATCTAAACCATCATAATTTTAGTTGTATGTTTCAAGGTCCTGGTCCTGCTGGAAAGTGAGCCGCTGCTACACTCTCATGTATTTTGAAATCTAAATGAAGTTGTCTCCGTTCAAAGTTTATTAGATTTTTTTTTTAAGGTTTTTTATGGATTTAGGTCATTTTTCTAATAAACTTAGATTGACCCTGCCTCTACCAAACTTCACAGTGGCACTGCACCATGAAACTTAATGTAATACATTAACAAAAATGTATTAAGTTATGCATTTAAGGTCATGTAGTTGAATACATTCATGAATTTTATGATAAAGGTTCCCAGACACATAATTAGTCATCTGCTTGT